TAAAAAAATGTTTTTTTTTAATAAAAAATTACACTTATTAATTTGTGTTAAATATTTAATTATATAATTATGTATTAATTTAAAAAAAAAAAATAAGCTATAGCCTATAATAGTATACCATTCATAGACTATAGTAGACCTTAATAGACCGAAATATCTGTACTATAAATAATTTTTTATAAAAACAAATATAATTAAATATTTAACATAAATTAATAAGTGTAATTTTATATTTAAAAAAACTAAAAAATAAATTTTATCAATTTATATGTTAAAAAACGACCTAAGCGTAGTAATAATCAAGAACTTATAATATAAAATAAAATTAAATCAAATAAAACAATATAAAATTAAATGAAATAAAATAATATAAAATTAAATAAAATAAAATAATACAAAATTAAATAAAGTAAAGATAAAGACTAAGTACTAAAAAGTTCCAAGTTTATATCTAGAGTGAAGTTTTTATTTCTTATTACACTTATTTAATGAATTTTATTTTATTTAAAATATTTAATTTGGTAAAAAATTGTTTGAATTCAAAAATTTTTCAAAAATTTAATATTAGTAACAGGAATATTTTAATAGAGACTTTTGAACAATAGGTTTCCATACTACTGTAGTGTTATATGAAGTGCAAGAAAAAAAGTTTGTTAATTGTTATACTTATGTATTAAGAATTTAAAAATAAGGTTTCAACTAATTTATTTATTTATTATTATTCTTTATTGTCATTTTATTTATTTTTTTTTTTATTGTACTTTTTATTATATTTATTTTTTAGATTAGAAATTGTTGTGAAGTGACGTGTGAAGTAGAAACTTGAAAGCGTATAATAAATGAAGTTTTGGATAATTATTAATTAATAATTTTTCAAATTTCTGTAACAATAAAAAAAATTAACATATCTAAACAATTTTTAACCGTTACTTATATTCTATTTAGGGTGCGTAGGTCGATAACCGTCGCCCTTGACTTCCTAATTTTTTAGCCACCACAATCTTACGTTAAATTGATATATCGTAAGACTATTTTGTAAATGTATCAAATGTCATATATTTTATTTTTAAAAAAATTAATATTTTGTTTTTTGTTTAAAATAATTGTAATAAAATAGTGTATTTTCCTACACTCAGATATCATATAAGTGTATCACAGAGCTGTGATATTAAGTCAAAAAAACTTTCAATTTTTTGAAGATATTTTTCAACACTTTCTTTGCAATGCTCAATTCCTCTTAACTTATTTACTGTGCTCTTGATAAATTTACAAATATATATACATATGTATATATGTATATATAATTTACTAACACTTCTCATAACACTTCTAATAAATGTTTATTTAAAAAAATAATTGAAATTACCACAAAAATTTCACGATTTGTCAACAAAGTAAAAGTAAGATTTCAAATAAACGCGACGCGATAAAATTCAACCGCAGAACTGGGATCTTGACGAGATGCTTGCTCTGGAACTGACAATACTGAAATGACTGCAGGTCGTCGCTGCGATAGTTCTTTATATGGTTTGCTTGTGTCAGGCGCAAGTGTAGCCAAACAGTTTCGGTGGCTAAGAATAAGAAGCACCAATGGGCGAGTATCATCTCAAGCCAATCTTATACGCATATCTATAAGTATATGTACAACAACAATAACAACAACAACAACAACAAATTAAAGAAACAACATTCTACATTAAAGACAAGCAAATTGGTAACAATTTTTGTCGTGGAAGAGTAAAAAGCGATTTAAACATAAACTGCAGCACACCAAAGCGAACCGTTCGTTGCTGAGCTTAGAAAATATTTTTCAGCACATTTTTGCATATCTTTTTTTAATTTATAATTTTTTCTGAAAAAGATACGAGTACTTTTAATCCATCTGAGAAATAGCAACAATGATAGAACAATAAAAAAACAATAAACAAAAAGAAATGCCGAACTCTTGCCGTTGCATTTGCAGTTTCTTGGCAAAGGTTACGAGAATTTCTTCTTACCGCATCAGTTAGGCTCATTAGCAGTGTGAATGGAACTAGCAGTTCTAGTTCCATTTGTACTTCAACATATAAGGAAAACAAATTTGTTAGATATGTCCAAAACTACTCTGGCTTGATTACTACATTGCATTTTATTTGAAAATTATCTTTTAAGTGTCTTTGAATGCACATATCTATGTATGCATATGCATGTATAATGTATCTTCTCCTACTACAAAATGTCTTCTACGACAGAGCAATTAATGTGCTGTCAGCTACTTTAATGATAGACTTACCAACTCGTGATCCTGACACTTTTCTCTATTAAAACTTGCTTTCTCTTTTATATAATTAACATAACAATTATGCAAGAATTAAAAAATACTTTAATTGAAATTATTCTCACCAGTTTTAGAAGGAAGAATAATATACTTTAGTACAATTCTTTATAAAGTTTGGTTTGTTATTAATTTATTTTTTTAATTTTTTTATTTTAATAAAATTCTAATTCATTACTTATTCACGTAATTTCACCCTGAGACAGATATTTACTTTAAAATCATTACGTATTAAAAAGAAATAAAAATATATTCCTATATATAGTATATAAAATGTAGTTTAAAATGTAAGAATAAACTACAACAACATTATAAATATATGTATTTATATATATTATAATATATAAGTGGTAAATTATTTAAAAAATACTATTTAGTGTTAGGTCCAGTAATTGGTGAAGGTCCTCAAGAAAGGGGGCTCCTAGAATATTAAGTCGCCGCCGTGCATGAGTTGGGCAATAACGTCTTCGGTGCAGCTACGACAGATTTGATTGAAAGCAGGACCTAATCTTCTAGCACGGTTCCCTAGTTTACAATGACCTGTAAGTAAACCTACCAAAAGACCGATATCTCTATGGGGTATATCAATGAAAATTTTGGATTTTCTTTTATTGGAAAGGAAATCCAGATTGCATACAGATGCAATCAGAAAGAACTTAGTCGTAATATAAATAATAAATAAATAAAATAAAATATATAAATGACAAATAATATTATAATTTTATTTATAATAGTATTAAAATGATTAAATATTGCCAAGACGAGACACTTATTTCAATTTTAATACATATGAAAAATTAATTAAAATATATCCCTTCCTTTCTTAAAGAATGTGAAGTAAGTGTTATACTTTCTTCTATAGAAAAGAAATAGGAGTCATATAGAATGGAATGCTGCTTAAATAGATAACAGCATTATTTGCTTGCATGCGATTTACAAAAACAAAATATGCAAAATCTAGAAAATAAAGTCGCATAGCGAAATTAATTAATTCAATTAATTAAAATAATATAAAAAAATTGTTGTTGTTGTAGTTCACTACTTTTCGAAACCTCTTTAAAAAATTTAAATTAAATTCTAAAAGCATAAAAATACAAGCGAGCGAAAAAAAAATATTGTCAAATTTGCACTAAAAAAGGTTATGTGTCTATACAATATTCTATTTTAAGTGCTCTATCTGCACAATAGACACAATCTATACAATATACATAATTACACAATAGAGTAAACGAACATAGAAAGAGACCGAAAAATTGCACGGGATTTTACTCAATATCTCTAAAACTTGTTTTGTTGCAATTTGAATATTTACTTATCGATTAAAGGAATACTTCAAAAAAAAAGTGTATAAATAATGATGTTTTTATTTTTCAATAAGTATCCTAAAACAATCTGAGCTATTAGATCATATCTAGTATTATAGTTAGTAAATTACCAAATGCAATGGTAAGTATAAGCATTTTACTTCTCGCAATTATAAATCATATACTTTATTACGTCTTGCTTAGAGCAAAAGTTCAAATTTCAACAAACTCTTAACATGAATATTAACCTTTGATAAAGAGAGTCAAAATAAATCTTTATTCCACTTAGAGTAATAGAATTGTACACACTTAAATATTTTGAGTAACTCGAGTAATTCATCAAATTAATTAGTTGCTTACACAAATTCAAAGAAGTTTTCACACAAAAGAGTGCTAAGGCAACTATCTTCCGAGGAGATCTGAACAGCAAGAATAACGCGAATTTATCATTTTTGTTCACACACGGAAATTAATGCTTCCAACATGCCATCGTTTCATTAGGAAAAGAAAAATTGTTGATTTTAATAATTCAAATAAAAATAAAAGTATTTATCTTAACAAAATTAAAAAAAAATTATATTTCCGTAGTCTCTTTTGAAGAGTGCGAAATACTTGCACTTCTCGTTTCTTTACTTTCCCTGTGAGCCTCAATTTGAAGCTTCAACTGTCAAGAATCTTACACCTTGAAAGGTACTCATATGGATAAGTGCATTTGCAAGCGGAAAGTAATTATGGAATGATGGTGTGAAGGAATGCTAAGAGCATGAGAAGGGCTAGTAATTGATACTCATAATTAAACGCAACTTCAATTAAGATTAACGAGTTCCAAATGATACCAAAACCAGTGAGTTACATTAGATTACCCTAAATTATAAGAAGTTGCGCTTAAATGAAAAAGATTCTCCTGATTTATTACCGACGGATGTGGAAAAAAGTTTTTATCTGCTGGGAGCATTTTTAATTCCTTAATATTTGCTTAAGCAGGAAAATTTTATTAAAGGTAATAACAATAAAAAACGTATTTAAGCAATAAAAAACTTTAAAATATAATATTTATTCAAGTAAGAGCACATTGGGAACCTTAAAGTATAAATGAAGAAACAAAAACTAAAGGGATAAGGTCTCTTCGCAAAATTTTTTAGGACGTACAGTTTTTTTTGTTATTAAAAAAAATATAAAAAGCACTTTAATATATTTTACGTAGATGTCCTCATACAACAACATCGATGAATGTCAAACTTTATATTTAAAGTCCAAAAACTTGAAGATATCATAAGAGCTATTAATTTTCTGTCATTTCCATTAAGTAGAATACACCTAATTCATATATATGAAAATAACTTTAATTCTTTTAATCGAAAATAATCATTATCAATATTTTATGCTCAATTACTCTAGTTCACCGATTTCACGACAGAAGAAACTTATTTCATATGGAATTTCTGTCACCAGAACAGATTAAGAGCTCTTTTCTAGATATAGTTCTAGACTTTGTTCACAAAGCTTTAAAGGGCTTTGTGTAATCAATAGTGAAATTAGTACAATAGGACTCTTCTCTCCTTTGTTAATGTAAAAGAATTTGAAGTTGTTAAATAAATAATTTGTATATTTGTATATATCTTATAATAGTCGCATAATGAATCGGTAGGGTCATGGTGTGCTTTTACTAATCTTAATCAGAATAAAATGATGTGAATCAATATAAAAGGTATCGTTGCAAATATTAAAGAATTTTGAGGTTATTTAATAAATAATTAAACTATTTCTATATCTCATATAACAGTCGCATAATGAATCGGTGGGTTCTTGGTGAGTTTTTACTCATCTTAAACAGAATAAAATGATGTGAATTAATGTAAAGGGCATCGTTGCAAATATGAACCCTCAATAACACTAATCTTTTTACTATAACGTTGTGCGACAGGTTTGTATACTTTTGCCTCTATTTTTCCTAGACATGTATAAAGTCAAATATGTCGTCGTATGGGTTACATAGCATTAATTGGACCACATTTATATGACATAGAAACATTACAACAAATGTGTTCGATTTCGTTAATAGGTTTCATTCATAGGATTTGAGTATAAAGTAGAAGATAGCATTTTTCTAGAGTTCTTTATTAAATTTTGAATAAGTATGAAAATAAATTTAGAGTAATTGATATATTCTTTTAGTCCGCATATCCCAATGACATTCGTTCTAGCTTACTTTCTAATATCTTTGTTGTTGTTGCAAATTGACTTAACACACAAACTCTAGGGTTTGTTATAAAATAATTAAAATAAGAGGAAACTTATCTATAGCAATGACGATAGATTTTCTTTCATCGGAGATAATCGTTTATGCCTTCTATAATTCATCTCGGTAGTATAGTAGCAACCAAAACAAAATGAAAAATTAAAAGTGATATCTTGAATAGCTAATTTCAGAGAATATTTTATTTAATTAACACTAAAATAGAGTCGTATACATATATTTCTAGGTAAAAAGCATCTCTTAAAAATAATCTCAATTCCATTCTTAAAAATTAAATGATAAAAAAGAGACTACTTTATTTTAGTAAAAATGTAAAGTCATTGCAGACCTATGTAAATTAGTATACATGTAGATGTATACTTTTTGTAATTTTGTAGATTTGGTGACCCAAATATGAATATGTAACTTTGATTTCTAGAGTAGATTAATTTAACCTTTAAAGTCCTCTTAAACTTTTGTCCAATGTATTTTTGTCCATTTTAATATTGAAAGGTTTATAATTATTTGAAACCTTTAATGAAACTAAAATTGTTTTTCTCTAATCTGAAGGACTTAATATTTTTAAAATTATTTAAAAAATTCAAAAACGTTCTGCAGTAGAAGATCCTAAAATTTACTATTTCCAATAAATCGAGTGCATCTTTGACCAATGTTAAACACTTTCATGTGTGAAACGATTTCTTCATCTTTCTTCATCAGTTACTATAAGAGCAACTAAAATAAGTAATCAAGCTCTTAGCAGAATCCATCTAATAGTGAT